CCCTCGCTAGCCTACTTAATATTTGCATGGTTAGGTTGAATATTTTATCTCCAGCCCCTTCCGCACTGTTAGTCAACATTTTCATCTGACAGATGGAATCAAGGCCTAGACCTTCCTTAAACAAAACACCCCTCCCAAGAAGCTAAAAGGCCTTCTTATAAAGGCCTCCCATCCTTTATAAGAAGTACAACTTAAAAAAATTGCTTGTCAAGCCGGGCGCGGTGGCTCAAGCCTGTAATCCCAGCACTTTGGGAGGCCGAGGCGGGCGAATCACGAGGTCAAGAGATCGAGACCATCCTGGTCAACATGGTGAAACCCCGTCTCTACTAAAAATACAAAAAATCAGCTGGGCATGGTAGTACATGCCTGTAATCCCAGCGACTCAGGAGGCTGAGGCAGGAGAATTGCCTGAACCCAGGAGGCGGAGGTTGCGGTGAGCTGAGATCGTGCCATTGCACTCCAGCCTGGGTAACAAGGGCGAAACTCCGTCTCCAAAAAAAAAAAAAAAATCCTGAATTGCTTGTCACTCTTTCTTGCTACATTCTTTGTGAATCTTTGGCCAGTAACATGCATATACCCACACACAGTTTGCAAATAAGAACAACTATTCAACGTGAAGTGCTACAAAAGTATGATGATAAAGTGCTCACCACTTGAAGAAAAGCAGTAATAATTTTAACAAAGCCAGAAAACACACACACACACACACACACACACACACACACACACACACACGGAAAAAATGCACGCTGTCTACGCCCAGAGATCTTTAAATATAAAGAATAATCATTTTTGGCCGGGAGTGGTGGCTCACGCCTGTAATCCCAGCACTTTGGGAGGCCGAGGAGGGCAGACCACCACAGGTCAGGAGTTCGAGACTAGCCTGGCCAACATGGTGAAACCCCCTCTCTGCTAAAAATACAAGTTAGCCAGACGTGGTTGTGGGTGCCTGTGGGTGCCGGTAACCCCAGCTCCTAGGGAGGCTGAAGCAGGAGAATCGCTTGAACCTGGGCGGCGGAGACTACAGTGAGCCAAGATTGCGACACTGCACTCTAGCCTGGGCAACAAAAGCAAAACTCTGTCTCAAATTAAAAAAAAATAATTCTCAGGAATAAATAAGATAGGTACAAACTTGGTAGGTGACTCTGTTATGCTTAAAGGTTCTGGCTGTCAACAGTCCTCGACGGGGCGGCGGCACCCTCAGTCCCATCGAACCGAGGGCGTTGACGCGGGGGAGGCTTGGGGCCGCCCCTCCCGGCCCAACGTCCCCAGGCGCCTGCTTACCCCGCTGGGAGCCGCATCCCTGCGCTCGGCGCCGCGCTCGGGGGCTAGCTGACAACCGCGGCCGGCGAAGGCGCGGCAGAGAGGAGGGAGAAGGCTCGTCTTTCCCGCCCGCAAGGCCACCATGGCCCCAGGCCGCCTGGCTCCCGCGGCGCACGGCAGCATTGCGACGACGCGAGGGACCGTTTTACGGCAGGGTCGCGAAGCCTGAGGGAGCGCGCCGACGCGGCCGATCGTGCGCTTTCCCTGCGGTGCGGCGGCGGCGGGGTCGGCAGGCGGCGCCCACTGACCCGGCCGGCCGCTCCTTGGTCGCGGCCACTCCAGGCTGCCTCGCTGCGCGCTGGCGGTGGGCGTGGCGCAGACGGCGGCTAGGAGCAGACGCCGGAGGTGTCTCCGGGTTTGGGGTTGTTCGGCCCGGGGCGGGGCAGGCGGGCCCGGGCGACGGCCTGAACTGCGGAAGTCGTGGAGGCGTCAGCGGCGCGTCGCGCGATGGCGCGGGCGGGACAGGTAAGCAAAGGGCGGCGTGTGGCCTTTTCCCTTCGTCGCGGGGACGAGTGCAGCCTCACATCGGCGCGGGGCTCCCCACCCTGCCACCCGTATCCCGGCGCCCACCCCCGCGTGGCCTGTTGGCACAGGCAGGACCGGGCCGGACTCGGTGCCGTCCCCGCCCCTGGGTCGGACGCGGGTCGGGGCAGGCCCGCTCTGGTCTCTGGTGCCTCCGGCCGGGCCTCGGCTCCCCTCCTTGACAGACTCTACCCGGCCGGGTCGAGCGCCTCTCGCGGGCCCATTGTGAGGTCAGGGCCGGCGGGCGCGCCCTGGCACCCCGGCCGAGACGCCGGGAGCGGCTGCTACAGCGGTAGCGGCCCCTTCACCGCCGGCCCCTTCACCGGCTGCCCGGCTCAGACCTAGTCGGGAGGGGCGCGAGGGATGCAGCTCGGGGCCCAGCTCCGGTGCGGCACCCCGTAAAGGGCTGATCTTCCACCTCGCCACCTCAACCACGGGACGCCAAGACCGCAGCCAGCTCAGGTCTCTTCTGGGTAAAGGGCCAAGAGGGAAGGGCGAGGCGGGGAGGAAGGAGCGCCGGCGGCCTGCCCTCCGTGGCCGTCAGGATACCCGCAGGGGATGGATGCTTTTCCGTTCGTTACCCACCTTGAGCAAGCCGTTTGATAGAAGCCAAGAGCTTGAAACATGTATTGAGCCATAGTGGACTCTTAGTGGGAGGCGAGTGAATGAATTATTCATAATTATCACGTTTCCGCGGGTTGTATTTTTTTGAGAGAATGGAGCACCGTAGGTGCTGAGGAGGTTCTGGGCCTCCAAGGCCCAAGATGGTGCCCTTCAGCGCAGTCCCTGTCGCTCTTCTAGACCTGTGGGGTTTTTACCTCTTCAGGGAGACATCTGTGAGGGAAGATGTGTGAGGAGCTAAAAGGGTGGGGCAGGGAGGTGCACAAAGGGATGGAGAGAAACCAAGAAGCGGGAACCTTGGGGATGGCCGAGAGCCACTGGTTTTTGTTCTAGTGGTTCAGTGTCTTTGGCTTAAGAGTTTCTGGAAACTAAGGCATAGCTGTTTGGCGGAGCGGGGTGTTAGTGCTCGGAAGGTTACAAGAGCTATCCTTTGACGCTGCACAAAGGTGCCTTGCTGGTTCCAAAAAAATAGTTTGTGCCGCGTGCAGTGACTCACACCTGTAACCCCAGCACTTCGGGAGGCGGAGGCGGGCGGATTGTCTCAGACAGCCTGGGCAATATAGTGAGACGTGCCTTTACTAAAAGTAGTAACGTTAGCTGGGCGTGGTGATGTGCGACTGTAGTCCCAGCTACTGAGGAGGCTGAAGTGAGGTGACTGCTGGAAAGTATACCTTTTTAAAATGAGAATTTTAGAATGTCTTAATATATCATTAATGTTCTGCAGAAGCTTTGTGCTGTAATAAGTTATTCTTGTCATCTTTTAGTGCTTGTGAAACTGAACACCACAAAAGTATGGATATGGGAAACCAACATCCTTCTATTAGTAGGCTTCAGGAAATCCAAAAGGAAGTAAAAAGTATAGAACAGCAAGTTGTCGGCTTCAGTGGTCTGTCAGATGACAAGAATTACAAGAAACTGGAGAGGATTCTCACAAAACAACTTTTTGAAATAGACTCTGTAGATACTGAAGGAAAAGGAGATATTCAGCAAGCCAGGAAGAGGGCAGCACAGGAGACAGAACGCCTTCTCAAAGAGTTGGAGCAGAATGCAAACCACCCACACAGGATTGAAATACAGAACATTTTTGAGGAAGCCCAGTCCCTCGTGAGAGAGAAAATTGTGCCATTTTATAATGGAGGCAACTGCATAACGGATGAGTTTGAAGAAGGCATCCAGGACATCATTCTGAGGCTGACACACGTTAAAACTGGAGGAAAGATCTCCTTGCGGAAAGCAAGGTATCACACCTTAACCAAAATCTGTGCGGTGCAAGAGATTATCGAAGACTGCATGAAAAAGCAGCCTTCCCTGCCGCTCTCCGAGGATGCACACCCTTCTGTTGCCAAAATCAACTTTGTGATGTGTGAGGTGAACAAGGCCCGAGGGGTCCTGATTGCGCTTCTGATGGGCGTGAACAGCAGCGAGACCTGCAGGCACTTATCTTGTGTGCTCTCCGGGCTGATGGCCGACCTGGATGCTCTGGATGTGTGCGGCCGGACAGAAATCAGAAATTATCGGAGGGAGGTAGTAGAAGATATCAACAAATTATTGAAATACCTGGATTTAGAAGAGGAAGCAGACACTACTAGAGCGTTTGACCTGAGGCAGAATCATTCCATTTTAAAAATAGAAAAGGTCCTCAAGAGAATGAGGGAAATAAAAAATGAACTCCTCCAAGCACAGAACCCTCCTGAATTGTATCTGAGCTCCAAAACAGAATTGCAGGGTTTGATTGGACAGTTGGATGAGGTAAGTCTTGAAAAAAACCCCTGCATCCGAGAGGCCAGGAGGAGAGCGGTGATAGAAGTGCAAACTCTGATCACCTACATTGACTTGAAGGAGGCCCTTGAGAAAAGAAAGCTGTTTGCTTGTGAGGAGCACCCATCCCATAAAGCCGTCTGGAACGTCCTTGGAAACTTGTCCGAGATCCAGGGAGAAGTGCTTTCATTTGATGGAAATCGAACCGATAAGAACTACATCCGGCTGGAAGAGCTGCTCACCAAGCAGCTGCTAGCCCTGGATGCTGTCGACCCGCAGGGAGAGGAGAAGTGTAAGGCTGCCAGGAAACAGGCTGTGAAGCTTGCCCAGAATATTCTCAGCTATCTCGACCTGAAATCCGATGAATGGGAGTACTAAAATACCAGAGATCTCACTTTTGATATTGTTTTGCACTTCATGTATACTTCTATGTATAGAGAGCTTCTAGTTCATTGAGCCCAACTGTGATTTATACATGCATATTTCAATCTCAGTATTTATGATTCAAGCAAATTCTATTCAGTATCTGCTGCTTTTGATGTTGCAAGACAAATACCATTACAACACATTAACTTTTCCATTCGGATCGTTATCTGTATGATGTGGTGTGGTTTGTTTGGTTTGTCCTTTTGTGTGTGTGTGTGTGTGTGTGTGTGTGTGTGTGTGTGTTTTTAATCAGAAAATGAAATAGAGGCAGCTTTTGTAAATTTTAAATGGGTTGTGCAAGCATTAAATGCAGGTATTTCAGAATCTAGAAATAGGCATAACCTTACATAATACTAGGAAGATTATGAGAAAGGGGAAATTTTTGGTTAAATAGGAGTAAGCAGTACACGTTCTGTTTTATTGTGCTCGACAGAGATTTTTTTTCACTTGTAAGGCCTGATTGGTCCTACTCAGCTTAATGGGGTGAGGTTTTTTTTGTTCGTTCAGTCCATTCTTTTGAAAACATTTTTAGTTGGAAAAACAGCATCTGTATTTTCCCCATACTCTACATTTTAGAGAGGGGAATCTTGTTTTTGTGTGTAACATGAGAAAATTATGAAAACTAATAGCCAAAAAACCTCTGAGATTGCATTAAGGAGAAGGGATAAAGGACCAGCTATAAATACCTTGTAAATTGTTTTTGTAGTATCTGAACTTATTGTTTTTCTTAGTAATTCATAAGGATGGGAACATTTAAATGAAGTTAATGGACCTTTAAAAAAAAGAAAGGAAACACCCGTACCTGTAGTTGGAGGATGGAAACTGGAGATTGGCCACCAATGTCAGGTTATATTAAAACAGCCAAAAAGTCTGAGTGTAGCATGTAATGGTTCTTTCGTGTTGTTGTCCAAGGCTGTATAATGGACAGCCTTGTCACGCCTCCCCAGTGCTGTTAGTAACCCGGAAGGACCATGCCTTCCCGTTTCCTAGGCCGCCACTCCCGTAGTAAACATCATAAAGATCGTCTGCTCCAGGACCAATTAGTGAAACCTGCTGGGAATTAAAGGCCTGCTCTGGGTGCCTGCCAAACAGCTGAGCTCATGTTAGGGGCATGTGGCGCTTTCTCTGTTGCCTGAAAGAGCCATTAAAGTCAATCGTGCATGAAGTGTCTCTCTTCTGCTAAAGGATGTGTATTTCCATAAATACTTCCTGAGGATCCAGTACAAAATAATTTCCCGAAGTTCTGAAGTGCCTTGAGAACCTGTTGGTCCCAGTGTTACAACAGACTCTTTCCCCAGGGTCACCTTTCGCCTAGTCATCTTATTACGATACCTCTTTGGAACTCCAAGGTATTATTACTCACTTTCAGAGATGCTAATTTTGTAACTTTGTGTAGGGAAATCATCACTTTAAACAACTGAAAGTATGATAGCTAAGGGAGTAGGCTTGGTCGGTGGAGGTGGCTCACACCTGTAATCCCAGAACTTTGGGAGGCTGAGGCGGGTGAATCACAAGGTCAGGAGTTCAAGACCAGCCTGGCCAATATGGTGAAACCCCATCTCTACTAAAAATACAAAAATTAGCTAGGCATGTGGTGCACACCTGTAGTCCCCAGCTGCTCGGGAGGCTAAGGCAGGAGAATCACTTGAACCCGGCAGGTGGAGGTGAACCAACATCAAGCTACTGCACTCCAGCCTGGGTGACAGAGCAAGACTCCATCTCAAAGTAGTAGTCTTTAATACCTAAAAAATGATAAAAGTGTAACCCTTAACAAATCTTCACTTTGTCTCTCAGTATTGCCCATTCATTAAAATCCCTTGATATGTCTTTCCTACTGGAAATGTTCTAGAGCCACTGGATGGGGTCAGAGGGCAGTCGGTATTTAGGCCGTGAGCCTCCCACACTACTGTAGGCCCAACACCTGGCAACCGCGGGCTTGAGGCAGGTCACTGGAATCCACATTTTGGCCAGAGTAGTTTTAAGGTTGCTTTTCTGTATCATAATTTTAGAATTCTCTTAAAATCTTGAGGAAGAGGCCGGGCGCGGTGGCTCAAGCCTGTAATCCCAGCACTTTGGGAGGCCGAGGCGGGTGGATCACAAGGTCAAGAGATCGAGACCATCCTGGTCAACAAGGTGAAACCCCGTCTCTACTAAAAATACAAAAAATTAGCTGGGCATGGTGGCACGTGCCTGTAATCCCAGCTACTCAGGAGGCTGAGGCAGGAGAATTGCCTGAACCCAGGAGACGGAGGTTGCAGTGAGCCGAGATCGCGCCATTGCACTCCAGCCTGGGTAACAAGAGCGAAACTCCATCTCAAAAAAAAAAAAAAAAAAAAAAAATCTTGAGGAAGAGTTTTTAAATGAGAGCCTTGTTTAATTATCCTGCCGGGAAATCCTGGTTACACTTGAGGGGCACATCTTCCACCAGCGTACTACTTACATTTTGAATTTCATTTTGTAAAGTTAAATGTCCGCATTCCCTTTAAAAGTGCCCGTTCTTTGAAAGATGTCGCCATCATTCTTTTCAAATAAGTGTTTGTGTCCCTTTTGCTAAGCTCTGGGCATGGTGTGAGTACGGGGTGTCAGCTCTTCCACGGTCATTTTGACTTGTTCACGGGTTATTTTCGTCATGGAAATGATCAGATTGACCTGGAGTGACTGTCAGGCATGGCTTTGTTTCTGTTTTCAATCTGTTCTAGTTCCTTGTACCGGATTATTCTCCCGCAGTGAACCCTGGTGACACTGATGTAGCTCTTCGCCGCCCCCATGGGAGCTGTTTGTGTTAATATGGGCTACTGCATGTAATTCCTCAGCTGGGCTCGTCACATTGTATTGTGTTTTTGTGATCTTACATGAAAAGAATCTGTACTGCAAGTAAAGCCTCCTCCCCAAAAATGTGTGGCCTTGAGTGTGCATTAAACGCTATAATCCGTGATCGTGCAAAAAATGGCTGGAAAGTTTGCTTTCTTTACATTCAGTCAGCCTTGCTTTATCCAAATAGAGGAAAGCCAGTCAGCCTGTAGTGAAGTATTTACTAAAATCAACATAATGAATATGTCTACAAAGTATAGTTTACTGCCTTATTTTGCTAAAATGTATATATATGTGATATACTTCAGTTTGAGAAGTTTAGCCAGTTTTTATTTGTTTTTGTCAATTTCTGTCTGGTGTTTAAAGGTCTGATCTTAGCTTATACATGCAAGTTTTGGGTTTTTTTTTTTTTTTGAGCAAAGCTTTTCAGCTTTTAATTTGTTGGGTATTTTTCTCTTAATAACTAGAGAAATATTGGCTGTAATACAGGTGTGTGTTTCCAGTACCTTGGTTCCTGTCCCCTCTGTCAACTCTTTGACAATTGGAACAGTATGTCTTCAACAATTCAGTGTTATTTTGAGATACACATATTAGTACCCTCTTCGTTATTCTTGAAATAAAGCCAATTTCTTAGGCTTGCGGTGGAGAAAGGCTGAGTCTGAGGTGTGTGTTCTTTACATAGCATCACCTTCGTGGACTGTCTTGACCTGGGTGAGGAGCCCTTCCTTACTGGAGCCCAGAGCAGGCAGGCCTGGGGGCAGGTGGGCTCCTTGGCTGCAGCTAGTGGCCATGCTGTAAGGAGATGAGGGTGGTGTGTGTGTGCCAGGACCCACGCCCGGGTGACGAGGTCACTGTGCTCGTTGAGACAGCCCAGGAAGTATGTGTGTCATGGGGGTTGGCGCCTCATGCTCTGCTCCCCCAGGAGGGTGCCCGCATCTCAAATAGGAATTGACTATTTGTAGAAAAGAGAAGAACCTTTGAGACTGTTCTGGAAAGGGCCTCTCCCCAGAGGAGAGTTGTTGACAGTGTGCTATGAAACTGTCTTCCCTGCTTCGTGACAGAGGTGTGGGAGTCTTGTGTCCATTTGGCCCTTCCTGGGTATGTGAGGTTCCCGACTGCAGCCTCCGGCCCTCTCCGTCGAGTAAAGCCCGTGTGCGGGGACTGCGGACGTGCCTGGCGCACCTTGGGCAGTTGTTTGTCCATTGGAAGTCCACTACGTGACAGCACTAACTCGTTTTCCTGTTTTTAACCCTTTCCTATTGTATTTTCTGTTGTCTTCTCTGCCCGCTTTTATCTTCCAGGTGATCCGAACAGAGGCAGCCTGTGCAAGCCTCACAAATGCACGGCAGGCCCAGAGCCCAGAGAAGTGATGGGTACAGGTTAAAGAGAAACACTCTGGGGGAAATGTGAGCTTTTCAGTAAATCCTCTACCACGTGAGGATTCCTATCACTTACCAACCAGGCTCCAAGCGTATCCTCGTGTTGTGCTGAGGGTTGAAGATCCACTGTGCCACCAGTGGCGGGGGAGAAACTCCAGGCTAGTAAGAGAAGGGACGGGGGGAGTCGGCTGCGCTGGGTCTGTCTCAGGCGTGAATGTCTTGGTGTCAGGGCGGGTGCCAAGTGCAAGCTGGAGAAAGACCAGTGGCTTAGGGAAGGGTCTCACCGCGCTCGTCAAGGCTGGTTAGAAGAAGGACAGGAGGCTGGTCGCGGTGGCTCACACCTGTAATCCAAGCACTTTGGAGGCCAAGGCGGGCAGATCACCTGAGGTCACGAGTTCAAGACCAGCCTGACCAACACAGTGAAACCCGGTCCTAAAAAAAAAAAAAAAGAAGAAGGAGGAGGACAGGAGAGGGTGGGAATGGTGGCTCACAGCGGGCATCTTGGCACTTTGGGAGGCTGAGATGGGAGGATCGCTTGAGCCCAGGAGTTCAAGACCAGCCTGGGCAACACAGACCCTGTATCTACCAAAAATTAAAATAATTTTTTTAAAAAAGAAACCTGGCTGGGCTTGGTGCCTCACGCCTGTAACCCCAGCACTTTGGGAGGCCAAGGCTGGCAGATCATGAGGTCAAGAGGTCAAGAACATCCTGGCCAACATGGTGAAACCTCATCTCTACTAAAAATACAAAATTAGATGGGTGTGGTGGTGTGCATCTGTAGTCCCAGCTTAAAAAAAAAAAAAAAAGAGTAGGCTGAGGGCAGTGCCCTGGCAAGCTTGCCTCGTGATTGTGGGTACCCGCTGGGCCCTAATTGGGGTCCCCGTGTATGTAGGTCTGGGGTTGCCCCTGCTGGTCAGGACATGTCTGAGGGCATCTTATGTATCTTGTGCTATGATTAGATGCTTCCTTGGTTAAGCTATCATTAGTTAAACTTTCCTGTGTGTCAAGCCCTGTACAAAATGTTTTGGGTTCTTTTGTTTTTTATTGAAACAGGGTCTTTTTTTTTTTTTTTTTTTTTTTAAAGACGAGGTTTCACCATATTGGTCAGGCTGGTCTCAAACTCTTGACCTCAGGTGATCCGCCTGCTTCAGCCTCCCAAAGTGCTGGGATTACAGATGTCAGCCACCATGCCCAGCTTGAAACAGGGTCTTACTATGTTGCCCAGGCTGGTCTTGAACTGGGCTCAAGCGATCCTCCCACCTCAGCCTCCCAAAGTGCTGGGATGACGGACATGAGCCACCGCACCCAGGCTTGCTTTTCCATTTTATGTAGTTATCACTGTACGAAGCTGAAGGCTTGGGAGAGTCACCAGGCAGGCTTAGGACTCTGGGTCCCTAGTTCTAGGTCTCTTCCACTTGTGCCCTTTGTTATGCTAGTCACCAGCAGGCTATTTCAGGTCCTCATTCACCTATTGGCTGTCTTGGTCTTTCTAAAAGCACAGCTCTGATCATACGGCTTTTCTGAATGAAAACCTTCAGTGACCTCCACTATTTCACTGGCTATGTCCCTGAAAGGCCCTGAGCGATGT